GGACCTGACGGGCTTCCCGGTGGCGCCCGGGCTGGGGAGACGGTGGGCGCTCCTGTCAGCGCCCCAGCCAGCGGACCCCTGGGAGGAGGAGGAGGAGGAGGCCTGGGCAGTCCGCGGGTTTCCTGGAAAACGCCGAGGGGAGGGGCAGCAACAGCAGAGGCAGCCAGCCAGAGGACAGTAAGCGGCAGCCTGTCACCACGAGCCCACGGCCCCTACTCTGCGACGGAGGGGGCCAGGAACCCTCGTCCTTCCTCACCACCGCGTCCAGGCGGCACAGGCCTGTGGGGCCTCTTGAGATCTGGCCCACAAGAGGAGGGGGCATTCTTTGGATGTGTGTGGCCTACCAGTGGCTTACATGACCTTTGCCCTTCCTGGCTGCTTAAATCTGCGGGGGGGGGGCTGTTGTCAAGGAGGTGATGGGAAAGACCCCGGAGAGCGGCTGCCAGTCTGAGTGGACAAGAACAAGCATGCTGGACGGGGTGGGGGGGGGATCCAATTCAGGACGAGGCCGCTCCCTGTGGGACCCACCTGGATCTGCTGATGTGGCTCAGTGGAACAGCCTCTGCTTGGCATGCAGAAGGCCCCAAACGCACCCTCTGGCTCCTCCAGGTGAAAGGACCAGGCAGCGGGTGATGTGAGAGATCTCCCCCCCACACACACACCCTGGAGGGAATGGTGCTTCCAGTCTGAGCAGACAAGACTGACCAATGATGGACGGGAGGGGGGAGGCTCTGGCTCAGGAGGAGGCCGTTCCATGGCATCCTCCTCTGACCACCACACCTCCTACCGCCAGCCAGTCCTTCAACTGTGGCACGCCATCCGTCCTCACCACAGCCCACTACTGCAGAAGTATTTGAGAGGGTGGAGGGATTCGGAACACGCGCTGTGAGCTCTGTGCAGACCCACTCGGGAGAGACTCTCCCAGCCGGTGCCCCAGCCCTCTTAACGTGTTCACTTTCTGGGAGAGGACTGTGGTGGAATTCTACCCAAGCAGCTGGGGCCTAAATGGACTCCCAGTGGCTTCCAACCCAAGCCGTTTCTCCCAGGGAAAGTGACGCAGAGGGGCAGGAGAAGGCTCGACAGGGGCCCAGGAGCACTTCAGAGACCCACCAGACTTGGAGGTTATCTGCTTTTGAGGCGCTCAAAGCTCCCTGTGGCCAGGCACAGGCAACGCACCCGGCGGAAGGACCCCAGCCTCTCAAGCACCGCTGATGCCGCCCTGGAAGTCTCACTGGTTTCTGAGGTGCTCCTGGACTCCTCTCTCGAGCCCTTCTGCCACTGTCCAACTGGGCTGCCAACCCGGGACCAGCCCCAGCCCCCGCGGGGTGTGTGTGTGTGTGAAGGGAGCTCCTCACCCAGCACCAATGTTCCCTCTAAGCTGTGGAGTCCTGTGAGCAAAGATTCTACTTTGTGAGCTACTGGCATTAAAGTTGTGAGCGAGCAATTTGGCTATTGCATAAATTAGTTTGCTCTGGAGCTATCTTTCCTGAGCTAAGACAAAAATCTG